CAGGTGGCCCCCGTCTGCCCGGCCTCTGCCGCGAGGCTCTGGCCCCGTCCCTGTCCCCAGGGGTGCACAGGACCCCATCCCTGTCCCTATACCCAGGGGTGCACAGGACCCCATCCCCAGGGGAGTGTGTGGGACCCCGTCCCTGTCCCCAGGGGTGCACAGGACCCCATCCCCAGGGGAGTGTGTGGGACCCCGTCCCTGTCCCCAGGGGTGCACAGGACCCCATCCCCAGGGGAGTGTGTGGGACCCCGTCCCTGTCCCCAGGGGTGCACAGGACCCCATCCCCAGGGGAGTGTGTGGGACCCCATCCCTGTCCCCAGGGGTGCACAGGACCCCATCCCCGTCCCCAGAAGTGTGTGCGGGACCCCATCCCCAGGGGTGCACAGGGCCCCGTCCCCAGAATTGTGTGCGGGACCCCATCCCCAGGGGTGCACAGGACCCCATCCCCAGGGGGGTGTGTGGGACCCCGTCCCTGTCCCCAGGGGTACACAGGACCCTGTCCCCGTCCTCAGGGGCCTGTGCGGGACCCCATCCCCGGGGGATGTGTGGGACCCCATCTTCAGGGGTGTGCATGGGCCCCCATCCCTGTCCCTGTCCCCAGGGGTGTGCGTGAGACCCCATCCCTGTCCCCAGGGGTGCACAGGACCCCATCCCTCGACATTTTCCCACTGGCGTGACCAAGGGGGTGGCTTTTTGGGGTCCATGAGACCCAGAGCTGCCCCACAGCCCCGAGGGGGGGTCCCTGCAGGGCGCGGGGCTCCCCGGTGCCAGGGTCTGGCCCGTGCTGTCCCTAACCCGTCTCCTGCCCCGCAGCCTGGCCCCGGCCCCCAGCTCCTGGATGACCCCAGCCAGCACCTCCTGGGAGCGGAGGGGCTGCCCCGCCGCTGCGCCTGAGCCCCGGGGACGCCGCCAGGGACGGCCGTGAGGTGCCGGGGGGCTCTGCCGGTGCCACCCGCGGGGCCTCGGGGTGCTGAGTCCGGCCCGGTGCAAAGCCGTCCCCAGCCCCGGGGCAGGATGTGACCCCCGGGGCTGGTTTTTACTCTTTTGTAAGGAAATAGAGGTTTTGCGGCTGCAGCGCTGTTTTGGGGTGCGTGGGCTTCGCGGGCGGTGCTGGGGGGGGCATCGCCAGCCACGAGCTGGGGGGAGGGGGTGGGGCCGGTTCCT